GGAGCCCCGCATCTATTTCTTCCCCTTGATGTGGGGGTCTGTAGCAGACCCCTGCCACCAAATCCCTTTCTCCTTGCCCCCCCATGTAGCCTAACCCATAATCCTTCTACTTCCTCACCCTTGGATTCCGTCTTGATGAGGGTTGACGTATATTGCTCATTGACATAGAACGCAACCCCTCCCCCTTTTTTCCCCCCACCCTGTCCTTTCCGTACAATCTATAACCCTCAATATGTACCACCCAGTCGTGGGACGAATCCCACCAGGTTTCCGTTAGCCCTACTAAGTCATAGGTGTTTTGTGCAAGCAGGAGCGCTAGTTCATCCTGCTTGTTTCCCATGCTCCTAGCATTAGTATACAGGCACTTGAGCCCTGCATGTATTCCAGGTAAGATCTAGCTAAACATTCAACTATATTTGTATTAAATATTTCAAGAATATAAATAGTTTTAAACTTTATTTTACCGTTATGTCTCTTTCTCTTAGACTTGTGTTTTTCTGTACGTGATAATCTAGACTTCTTACTATTTGGTTCTTTAGAGTCTTGTTCATGTCTTTCTCTCTTCTTGTTTGGTTTGACTTCTCTCCTCCTTTATAATAAAAATAAAAACAGAAGTGTATTCCTTCCCCAACAGTAAATAGATCAGAAATCAAACCCAGTGAAGCAGTTTACACTCTTTTCAAAATCTGTTGTTTTTTGTTTTTACAAATCAGAATAGTAAAAACTGCATGCGTATTGAATGCAAAAAGTGTTACTGCAACATCAAGACTTTATTTATTTTACACAAAAAAGCAAAAAAAGCAAAGGCTAAAATTTCCTGAAGAACCTTGATGCATCCTCATCGCAGTTTTTACATTTAATAATCAAATATATCAGGTGGGCCATGTGACCAACATAATATTTCTACTGAATACTTACATATTACAATACACAATCATAAACTATAGTTTCCTTTATTTAAAAAAAATAGAAATTAAAATATGAAAAGAGTGCCAATAAGCATAACTGATTTCAGCAAAAATGTGTTTTGCAATTCTTTATATTAAAAATGCTAATGAGGAGGATAATCTTATGAGATCTGAGAGAACAATGTCCAATTGCCAGCTCTGCCAAAGACTCCCAACATGGCCATGGTCAAAGCACTTGAGGTCTGTCTACATAAGGACCAAATTAAAATTAATCCACATTAACCAAGAGGGTGGACAGAAGTAACTACTGAAATGTTTCCAAGCGTAACAGACTTGGAAATGCTGCAGACAGGTAGTGTTTTAGTCAGGGGACATATGCAGCTCCTGTCATACCCAGAGCTGAAGTGATTCCAAATCACTTTGGCTGCATGGAATTGCTTCCCCTCCTGCCAGGGCACTACAGGAGGCTGTAGAAAACTGGATATGCAACCAGCCCCCTCCCTCCTAGACAGAGCCAAGTGGACTGTCAGTGCCACCCCACTCCCAAATGTTAAGCAGAGTACTCAACTTCCCCCACCAGAACTGAAGAGGTATGATGGTTGAGGGATGAAGAGTCAGAATTCCAGTGGCAGTGGGGAGTTTGCCAGAAAGGGCAAGCAAGGGTTTGGCACAGGGCATGGGAGTCTAGAAAGAGGTCTGAGAAGGGCAGCAGAGGTGTCCCACTGCCAGGATAGCCAGCTGTAAGGCTCCCAATTCCCAGCCTCTCCTCTTTCTCCTCTCCCCAAAGGAGAGGTAGAAGGGATGTGGGGCTGGAGTAGTCAGAGTGAAGGGAGTGCTCCATTACCTGGGAACCCCAGCACACGGAGCATTCCCAATATTGGGAACTCCAACAGGGGCTGGCAAGGGAGGGCAGGGTTCCACAGCCACCGGCAACCAGGATTCTGACTCTTCAAACCCAAATCCCCTGAACTGAGCCTCCCCACCCCTTGAAAGAGTGAAGAAGCAGAAGCAACTACAAGGAGAGGCTCGTACTGGCAGCAGCAGGGTGCCCATGAATCGGACCCACCACCTGGACTACCTGGCAGGCTGTCAGTCTACCTGTTAAACTGTCTACCCCCTTCTGGTTCCCCTATTGTGATATATAAAACGACCATCTAATATAATAAAGGGTTTAGTGTGTCTGTCTGTCTGTAATGCATTTGGGCAACTGCATATGTGCTGCCGGGAGGGCCAGTGATGACTGGCTGCATGGGCTCTGCCTCCTCAGGCAGGCAGGGAAACCGCTGCTGCCTCAGGCAGGGAGGTGGGAGCCCTGCTGCTCCAGGGGAGGAGGTGGAGGTGGGCAGGGGGGAGGGAGCCTCTGCGCTGGAGGAGGCGACGGCGGTGGTACAGAGACTGTTTACATGGCCGGCCCCGAAGGGGGGGAGGGGGGGGGGGGCAGGGGGGGGGGAGCCACTGCTACAGACAGGGAGATGGGGGAAGCCCCGCTGCTCCAAGGGAGGAGGGGAAGGAGGGGAGGGGGGGGGGGGCAGGGGGGGGGGAGGGAGCCTCTGCGCTGGAGGAGGCGACGGCGGTGGTACAGAGACTGTTTACATGGCCGGCCCCGAAGGGTGAGTGGGTGGGGGGGATGTAAACGCTCCCTAAAACACTCCATCATTCATGAAGGGTAATTGGCTAGTAATATATAAAACCACAAAAAAGTAGATATATGATTACAGATGTGCAATTCAATAATGTAGCAGACAACAACAGGTCTAAAAAAGAACTATTCTTATATAGGGGTTCACTGATAAAGATTTTCTTGACAGATACAGATGGCCAATTATTAACCAGCTATTTTGGCTGATACCCAATTTACAGAAATGCAGCCCAGCACTTGGTAGCGTGGAGAGCAGCCTCCTGCCTGTAAGTCTGGGTGGCAAAAGTGGCAAATCGAAGCCTCTGTGGTGAGGGAGGGAGTGGGGCAGGAGCAGGCACTCTAAGGGGTGGCTATGGGGTGGGCTATAGCCACCCCAAATTCCCCATAGCCACCCCTCCCAGCACCACTGCCCACCCCGAGCACAGCCCTGGCCCAGCCCCTGCACTGGGAAGAGGCTGGAGCAGCCCCTGGCCCCAAGCCCTCAGCAGGCAGCCCTCTCTCCCACCATGCACAAATCCAGGGACTACACGCCCCCCATGCCTCCCCTCGGGGTGCGCAGAGCAACAGGGAGCTGCCCCCACTCCAACACCCCCACAGCTCCATCCCACTCCTGGTGGGGTCACATTCACCACCCTGGCTGGGCAGCGTCTACTTCTGCCCCTGCCCCACTCCCTCCTTCACTGTGGACAATGAGTTTATACCTTGCTTATTTCAGGGGGGAAATAATTTGCATATAAACTTCCTGTAAGGAGAATTTTTTTTTCCTTTAGACTGAAATATAGCATGGGAAAGTTCAGTCTAAAAGGCAAATTTAAGATAAATTTAAGCAAGCATTATAGTTGTACCTCCTATTATGTTTTTAATTAACACATACAAGCAAAAAATACTCAGGAAATCTAAATAAGATGTTTCATGAAGATGTTATTAAGGAAGTAAGTATAAAATAACATTCTGATATGCATTTTTCCAAGCTGTTTACTAAATCTGTTAAATATATTTATTATTTATTTAATCTGCATGTTTTCCAAAATCTCCATTACCTGTGATGAAAATTTAATTTGTAAGAACATTCTGGACACAGTCCTAAAAAATAGAAGAGTAAAAGAAAAGAACCTTGAATATTAAAATCTTGCACTTAATAAAAACAGTTAATAAGATTTATCAATGTTGCTGTCCCAATGTAATTTATAAATTCTCCTTTCAATTTCTTCCAGCAGAATAATTTCAGTACAGTCAGGTGTAATTGAAGGAAAAATAGCATGAAGAACAGGGAAATTTGGAGTCTCAATATTGGCAACTGCTCACAAAAAAGAAGTAATATTTACTCTATATGGTGATTATGTAAAAATATGGTTTTCGTGTACTTTTCTGAACAGAATTAAGACAAGATTATATATATAAAAAAAAAATCACAGACAAACCTAAGGCCTCTCCACAGAACGTATATTACTGCACAGATGGACACTTAGTTGAGGAAAAATGTTTATTTCATGCTAACTGTTTATTATCAAAAGTTTCTTATTGGTTGCACCTATCAGTATGGTTTTAGATGCACGTATTCGGAGGGATGATCTTATTTACAAGATTCGGCTTGGTAGCATTAGGATTAAGCTGAGCGCTAGTAAAGACTTTTTTTGAGGAATATATCAGTATTAAAAACAAAATGTCTCCCATGCCAAAAATACCAAGAAGCTTTATTTCAGCCATAACACAATAGAATGGAATTAAAAACTAGATAGTAAGAAGTGTTAAAACAATAAGCTATTTTTTGACAATAATGATTTCTACAAATCAAGGCCATTATTATAATTAATCCACCGAAATGGCATCACATCTTCCCCCTTTGCCTACTGTGGTTACCTAATTACTGTTTCTAGTCCTTGCTTTATAGTCTTTAAAGAGTAAGATATTTGCCTTTAAGTTTACATTAGAGTGAAGGCCAACCATAGTAAAGGCTGACTTACTCAATTTTACAAGTGCGTTCCTCTTTTCACCATGTTCAATATAACCAAAATTCACTTCCCAGCTCTTCAGTCCTTCTCTCTCATCACAGTGTTTATTCCCGCAGGAAAAATGACCTAAGGAGGTCAAAAAAAGCAAACCATGGTTAAATCATTAGCTCATGTGGATTTGAGGTTGTTCTTTCCAGTTCTTCTCAGTGTTAAAAAAAAGCTAGAAATTAAAGTCTAAATAAAGTAAAGTATTAGGAGCAAGTAATACTTTTAATGACATAACAGTATTTGTACCAAAAAATAAACACACTGAAAAACTTACGTATGTCTTTCATCTTTGCCGGTATTTTGGAGGACATGAAGGGATAAAACTGACAATACTGAACTTTAGAAAAGTTTCCATTCAGGGTGCATACAGATGTTTGAGGAGGTCAGATTGTGTTAAAAATGGCCACCCTACCTAACTTAATTCACCCAGGTGCCAACCTTGCACTTAGATCCCTAGCTAGGTCAATCTAAGTGAAACCTATATAGAAATTCAAAACAGTTAGATAGGTCCAAAAATAGCTGATCTGATCTAAGTTAAACCTACCTCCACAGTGGTCTAATTTAGATTGGGTTGGACATTTTTATACCAATCTGTCCTGAACTTCTGTACAATTCTCAGTGCATCCCCAGGGTTAGGAAAGCGCAGATACAAGTTGAGATGGGGGAGGAGGGGCAGGCAGGATACGATAGGGAGGTAGGTTCACTAAAGTGGATTGTTTGTCTGAGAGCAAGGGGCAGTTGGGCAGCTAAAAGTGGAGCCCCCCATCCCCTCCTCGATCTCTAACCCCCACTCCCATGGACCCTGCCTGCCCAAGGACTCCTTGTCCCATAATCCCATTTGTGGATCCCATCTGCCCCCCAAATCCCCTAATCCCTCCCAGCAGACCCTGCCTGCCCTCCCAATGCCCCTTGGAACCTGCTTGCCCGCCCCCGATTCCACCAAGCTTCCCCCACTGGTGGCCCCCATCCTGACTCACCTTAGATCAGGTGGCCTTAGATCTATCTAATTTCCCCCTAGCCTCCCCAAATGTCTGTATGCACACCTAATGATCAACTGAACATCATTAAGCTATTAATAATTATATAGTTAGTGGAGGGTAACAGATCAGAAAATGCCAGTCAGATAGATGTGTGTATATCTTATATTATTACAAGATATGTTAAATAAGTTATATGCAAAAATAACATTCCTACTACTGATTAATTTACAAGCCCATCTAATCTCATGGGCAAAGAATATGTGCTCTAAAACTCTCAGAATCTTATTTCTTTCCTTAAAGCGGTACAAAAAAATTAAGACTCAACATGTGAAAACTAATTTTTCTGCTTGAAATAAAACTACAGAGACACTGTAAAAATCGCTGCTGTTGCTTTTCTTTCTCTCCCCCTCAGCCAGCCATATGCAGGCAGGGGCAAATTTGGTCTACAGCAGCAATTAGTTTTAACCTTTTCACACACACTGCAGAATTGGCAACAGTTTTTGACTAAGCAGCCAAGAACTGCTGCAATTAGGCAGCAGCTCTGAGAGTATTAAAAATGTAGCTTTTGCCTGAGTTGGAAAGGAAGGGTGAACGAACTGAAGATTAGGCTCTGTCCCGGCTCCATGCAGCCATAACTCTGGAAAAATCTTTTCTTCTTCATTCTGCCTTCCCAAAAAACAAGGCATGTATCTTATTTGGGGACATGTGGTATGCAAGAAGACACACTGTTGCTTTGGTGAACTTGTCAATACTACTTATACACTTTTAATAACAGAAGTAAGATAAGGAAAAATCTGCATGTTAATCTTTCCTTTTACTGTATATTAAAGATATATTGAAGTCTGATCAACTCTGCCAAGGAAATTATGTTACCTATATCTTTACAGAATATATACTTGAAGTAAAAAAAAATTCTATTTCTAATATCTTTGTAAATTGCTTCGCATAATAAATTTTTAAACCATAGTCTAGCATTTTTTGTGTTTTAAAAGTACAAAAGAAACACAGTTAAGGAGTTAAAACACTTTTTTTTTTTTTTAAACACACACAGAGTACAGAAAGCAATGCATTTCAGAAAATGTCTAGTGCTTAGCTCATTTCTGCACTTAAATCTTCTGTGCATACAAACTTTAAAAGCATTATTTCTTATCTCTACATGATCTATCTACATTATATTTATGTAATTATACATGCTAAGATATGCACTTATATTTCTTCACAGTTAAGACATGTAACCATTTCTCTTAACTATGAAATGCTCCTTGGGGATTTAAGCACTTTCCCTTGAAATAACATACTTCCACTTGATTTAATGTGCATCTAGGGCCTTCTCCATACGGTATCTAAAACTTGGGCAATAATTAGAGAAAGTGAAAAATATTAATGTTTCTACTGCACAGCATAGTCAAAAAAGCTCTCTCATTTCTTGCATTGCAAAAGGTTAGTGAGAGTTTAAAGCGGGGCTGTCCAGCTGGCTGCCAGTAAGCTGCATGAGGCTCGGCAGCACTTAACATGCAGCCCACGAGCCCCAGAACCACCTTTTCTGCTACCATACAGAAGAGCAGGGCCCAAGGATCCATGTGCTGCCTGCTCAGCTTGCTTGACAGAGGGGACTGCAGGCTGCAGGCCACATGCTGCTGGCACAGCTCACATACTGGGGAAAGGTTTTGGGGAAGGAGGCTGTCCCCTCCACATGTGGCAATCTGTCAAATACCATTTGTGGCCCTTGCCTCCTGCGAAGTTGGACAACCTTGGTTTAAAGTACAAATTCTGCCCGTATATATGGGTCAAAAGAGTATTTTTTTTGTGTAGTATATCACTGAAACTGGGCATATAAATTACAACTATTAATAGTAATCAAGGCTACATCTTTGTCTGATTTAGCTGAAGACATATTTGGGGCACCAAACAATTTTCCTTCTCAGTACCCAATGAAGGTGACTGAATTAAAAAAGGTACAGTCATGGTTTTTATGGGAGAAATGTAAGTTATATTGAAATCAGGGGAAAATAGGGAAA